ATGTGCGTCTGTATGTAGTACAACAAGAAGACGTAGAGTAAGAAGCATGACAAGTGAGATGAAATGGAAGAAGAAGTAGGAAATGGAGATTACTTGTGTAATTAGAGCTCCGGGTTGTAGACTAGGCTATGACATAATAATATATCTATTAACTCGTAACTTCTAACTGTAGTTTCCTCATCCTGATTACCTGTGTTACCTGTGTGGAGTGTGTTCTTGTCTTCAGTTTGTGTGTGTGTGTGTGTGTGTGTGTGTGCTCTCACAGGTTGGGTTGCACTGTCATCTACTTAATCTTTGTACCATCCTTATGTTGACCAACATAATCATTTAACAACAAGTAAAGAGAGAGCTTGTATAGTAATTATTAGTTTCACCTTTCAGAAGATGGCCGGTCCACTTTCATTACAAAAACAAAATAAACAGCACAATAAACAAAGTTTAGCTTATCTAACGGGGTTTACTTGACCTCTCGTTTAATATTTTGTATCAGATCCTTCAATATATACATGTTGAAATTAAAAGAACATTACATACACTGACACAAAAACTAATGGTTTATGTAGTATATGTTAATTAGTGAGCTTTAGATATGCAGCTAAAGTTAAGCTTCAAATTTACCGTGAAGGCATTTCTTACACATCTCTTGCTTGGAAAGAAAGAAAATAAGAATATCTCCCCAAATCTCTAGGTCCTGTTTCATTCTGAGCTTTGGAGTTAAAGATGAAGTCTCATTACCATGACATATTGACCTGTGTGTGGGATTTGACAAACACGATGTCAATGCAGAAGATTTTTCAAAGCCACTAAAGTTTTCCATCCAGTGTTTTGCTGGTTCATGGCCGAGGCAGCGAAATGATTAACCTGACACATACACTAGGCCAAACATGTGTGGGCTTGGACTGGACTCACAGAGCTTTATAAGACAGCAAATATTTGTCTCTTCTAAATCTACAGCAAGTATTCCTTTAGAGTCCAGTTCGTCATCATAGTTTAGTCCATCAATCGTTTTTGTGTTCCAAATAGAGCGGCTGACGTAAGGTCTGATTGACTGCTTGTTTCATCTCAGATCTTAGGAAGTCACTCAGTGAATCTTCCTACAATGTTATCATCACTGATATCATGCACAAATTCCACGTCAGAGTACTGCAGGACCAGAGAGAGGTGCATCAGAACCAGTCCTCATATAACCTCATGACATTGTGTCTCACTTCGGCCTACAAATACAGTGATACTCTCTGACGGTCGAAGATGGATCTGAGGTCAAATCAAGGCACACAGGTCAATTGTACATTGTGCAAGCAGTTCATTGTACTGAATGTGTACTCTATGCCAATGCAATGACACCATGTCCTCAGGTTGTGATCATTGATGATATCCTGCCTTTGGTATCTAATGATAATAACAGAGTGTGAGCAGGACTTTGTGAGCGAAGTGTGTGTGCGAAGATGACTTTGTGATGGACTCGTTCTGAGAATGGCGTTATAATCCTGTAGTCACGTATGTTTATGTCCCCCGAGAATCACATTTATCCGTTGAATATAGTGCCTCCTGTCATGGTAATTAGCCATTTCTAAAAACAAAACTGATTTGAGTGTGACACAATAAAATGGTGTTTTTTTAGTTTAAATCAATTTGGCATTTTATCAAAGGCTTTTGGGGACACAGTTCTAGTTCCCCCAAATACAGCTATATTTCTTTAAAATCATTAGTTTGACTGGTGTGCAGAAGTGGTTTGGTGTGTTTTCTTTCATCAAAACCACAACTTTGATAGACATCTTGGTGGGAGATTGTCGGCACCAGGCCAGCTGAGACCCCAGCCTGCTGTGCTCTGGCCTTATATCCTCTCTGGGGAGAATCTTTAATAAAACTGATTTTTATCAACGACGTCTCTTGTTGTCGCTTATTATCATGTTGTTGGAATACTGGTGTCTTTGTGTTAATGTAGAGTTACTGCATCTTTCTATTCTATTCCATAACAACCTGCATAATATGAAAAGCCTTGAAAGTAGCATGTACATGCCGCACTGACTCAGTGTCATCACAGACTGAACCAAAGCACTTTACATTGGAGCTCCTCCCAGTGGTGACCAGTCTTTATCACAGATGTGCCTCTTGTTCGTGATGTGGTTCATGCAGGCTCACTTTCACTTTCAACGGAACCCTTGAATAGAACTAAGCCATCATCCACGTCAGTGACAAAGTCTAAGCGTGAGCTTTGAGAAAGGTACACACACTGGGCTATCACTTAGATGTGTTTTTAGCCTAGTATCTCCGTGTTTTATAGGACTTATAGGTTTGTTGTTTCCCATCATCCTCACAGAAAAAGAAATGTCCTGATAGACAAAGTAGTTACAGGTTACGGGTTGTTGCAACCTGAGGCCTGGAGCTTTGAAAAGCAGTGAATGCAACAACAGACTATTAAGAAGGTATAAGATGAATGAAATATCACTGATTATTTCAGCGGCACTACACACTCCATATATGTAGGACCAAAGCCCCGACACTCTCAGGAACTCAGCAGGAAACTGTTGTAAGTTGTTGTAAGTCGGCCATTCTTGGTCTAGTTAGCTCCAAATGTCTCATGTATCATTACTTCCTGACCACGAAGACATTAATGTAACAATTTGGAATTATAGTAAGAGCACCTCCTACAGCAGGAACAGGAAGTCATAGTTTGTACACTTCACATACTCCTTTTAGCAGGTTAATAAGATCCATCTCTAATTTGTTCAGGCCTTAAGACATTAAAGGGCGGCAACGTGGAGGCTCTGCAAATGTTGATCCTTTGCCATAAACAAATGAATTGATGCAACTCAACTCCACATGATCGGTATTATTCCAAATTCAATTCAATTCAATTCATTTTATTTTGTATAGCCCAAAATCGCAAATTACAAATTTGCCTCAGAGGGCTTTACAGTCTGTACACATACAACATCCTCTGTCCCATGTATGATGAGACTTGGAGCCTGAAGATATTTACAAACAAATATGTAATCACAGTCATCCTCCTACTGGTAACAGGAAGTTAATGTGTACACTTTGGCTTGTTTATTTTAATAAGTTAATCAAAGCAACATTAAATTTAGTTTTTTTGGCCATTTTCAAGTGCTGTATTTTCTCGCAGGGGTCTTTTTCCAGGCCAAGGTCCCCCAAACTGATGGCGAGATGGAGCAGTTTTTCCTTCACAACTTACACCCCTCGACTGGCAAACCGGCGTTTTCGGAGATCTCCCTCCATGAATTGGAGGCCATCCGCGCCTCCTTATCCTTATAGTCAAGCCAATGCCAGGTTGTATAAGTGGTCATATTTACGGATTTCTTCCGACGCAAGGGGCTCTCGCGTCTGCGTGTCCTTGCGTCTCTGAAAACGCAGAAGCATGAACTAGGCTTAACACCAATGACAAAAACCCCGCTAATTACTTATTGAATAAAATATATACAAATAATAAAAATACATTAAGCTCGGCATTTTGTGGATTCATTAAGTTTAGAAGTTGGTTAATAGATTAAAAGAAGTTTTTGGTAGGAAACGAGAAATACATTTCAGAATATTTGTACTACCTAAATTTCACCTTTTCTGTAGAATAACCCTTATACTATGAGCCACATTTTATGACTATATAAATTAGGTGCACCTTAAAGTAATGCTGTTCCTGATTGTTGTATATTTACACATTATTTAATGTAGTAACACAAACAAGCATTCATTTACGCTTTTTGACCAACTGTGGAGGAGGAAACAGGACACTGTTTGAATATGGTGTATATGTTTCTCAAAGGACAGCAGAGAACTTTTTCAGCAGTGACGTATGTTACAGCAGGCAACAATAGTAATGGATTTTATGTTTTTTAGCTGTAGACATTTTCTGATAATAGTCTACTTTTATTACACAGTATCTGTTACTGTAATCCAAAGTTCAAATGAACACGTGTGTGGCTAATTTCAACTGTATCACTGCACTGAGCGTATGCAGAGGACTGTGTTTTTGATGATAAATTAATTATGTTTATTAATTGTGCTTATCAAGCATATTGATTGGATTTGAAAAATATATTAAAATGGCCATAAATTACTAATATAATGAATAATAATCCATAGATTTCATGAAATAGACCTGTTGCCTTTACTGTGCATATACCAATTATGGTGTTGTGTGCAGTCACCTCAAAAACAGGCCAGGAAATACTCTGTTATGAGTGATGAATGATGGATAATGCTCACCCAGACTTAAGCACAAGCTAAAAATGTTGCAGCTTCATTGAAGTATATTTTGTACATGCTAATAGTGTTTCAGGAAAGAGCAAATCTAGGGACAGTTTGAAAGGTCTCTCTTTGACTGAAACAGAAGGTCTTAAAGAATACCTGCATGTCTTGGTTGAGCTTTTGAGAGATTTAGAACCAGAGTTGTCACTGATGATGATTTGTTATTTGCAGGCCAGTTGGTGAATGCCGCGATACGCCTTCTACCATCGGTCTTCAAAGAAAATGCATCACAGCTGTTTGCAGTCGATAAGGTTAGTAATTTGTGCTTGTGGGGAACAACTTTAATTTGTTTGTTTGTATTAAATATAATTTCTTTGTATATTATATTTAAGTTAAATTACATTTTAAAAAATTACATC